CAAAATCCCGACTAAAACTAAATCTCGACTGTATCAAAATCCCGACTATATCGAAATCCCGAATGTATCAAAATCTCGACTATATCTAAATGCCGATTGCATCAAAATCCCGACTATATCGAAATCCCGACTGTATCAAAATCTCGACTATATCGAAATTCCGACTATAACTAAATCTCGACTGTATCAAAATCCCGACTATATCGAAATCCCATATCAAAATCACGACTGTATCAAAATCTCGACTATATCGAAATTCCGAATATATCTAAATGAAGACTACATCAAAATCCCGACTAAAACTAAATCTCGACTGTATCAAAATCCCGACTATATCTAAATCCCATATCAAAATCCCGACTGTATCAAAATCTCGACTATATCGAAATTCCGAATATATCTAAATGCCGACTACATCAAAATCCCGACTATATCAAAATTCCGACTATAACTAAATCTCGACTATATCAAAATCCCGACTGTTTCGAAATCCAGACTGTATTGAATTATAGAAAAACTTACTAACAATGAAAATTCTAGGTATTTGCAATGTGGCAATAGTTTACATTAGTTTTGATATATACAGAATTAATATATGTTATTTATGTTACAAAGTTATTTACAAGACATTATATAATTTTCAATATTGTGACAAATTTTCTACTCGTTTTAACAATTACACAATCTACAAAATATGTTATATAGTTCTAATAAATAATTATCTTAAGTAATTCCATTATCATTACTGTTATTGTGCGGTCCTTTTTTATGCGATTTTTTGTATGCGGTATATGAAATCCAACCAATTCCAACGGCATTTTTGACGTATTTTCTGAATGCGATCTTTTTTATGCGGTTCTTATCAACCGCATAAAAAAAGTTTCTGTATTATATACACAGTTATAGATTGATTTTATGTAAGAATTTATGAAAATTTCAAATATTCTACAAAAAAAAATAATGATTTTGTTAATTATCTAACACTTTACTAATTATTCATTAAGATTATATTGAATATATAAAAGCTTATACATATTTTTGTAAATATTTATTAAAAGAATTTAAAAAAACCTATTATGTAACTATTGTATTGCATTGAATTGATGTTATGAAAAGTTGTTACATTATGTTTTCTTTTTTGCAAAATAACTACATACATTCTGTATCCAGTTTATCATTGGATTGAAACCGAAGGTCGCAACAAAAAAAAAAGAAATAATAATATTGTATACGTGCGATATTAGCAATTCGGAAAACGCTAAATTTCCACGCGAGAAATTAATTATCCGAGGCGGCGCGCGTTGACGACCATTGAATTGCGGACACACAATAACTTGCGACTAGCTAATTAGTCCTGATACAAGAAATAAAAAATAAACGAAGTGTATAGATGTGAAACGTCGCGACGGCGACGAATATTCCGGTAGGAATTGCGGGGGAGGACACAACAAAAAACGTAGTATAAAAAAAATTGTAGTATATAAAAGTAGTATACGTGGCAATATGTCAGGACCGTCTTTAGGGGATACTCACTTTCATGTAAATACTATACAGTTACAAATAAAAGTGAATTTTCACTAATATAATAAATACAATTTTTTATATCAAATACGAAAAGTCATTACAAAATTATTTGTTAATAAAATATGTAGCTTTGTTGTTATGAAACATTAAATATTTTCAGAGAGTATAGCAACACCTCGCATAGTCCGGGTAATCGTCAATATTCCGGACTATTAGAAACCAAACTAATATGAATTAATAAACTGCACAAAAGGAGACTTGAGTGAATAAAGTAAAAAAACCAAAAGCTAAGTTTATTTTGAAGTCTCGCTATTATCATAGAATTAACTTATACATTGAATTAATCAATTTATTTTAATTTTGTTAAATGAAAAAAAAAAACTTCACTAATTTGTTATTCAGACGACGTGAATATGAATTGGAATAGAAACTCGAGCAGCGGAAACCCTCGTTTTAAAGCGTTTAGAAGATGACTTTTTTTTTAATGCGGATGCATTCAATGGTTTTGTTTATTTAATACGAATTTTGCTTTAAAAAACTAATAATTAAAACAGAATTATAAAGCAAAACTAAGTTCGAAGCAAAGTTTTAATGAAGGAAGAAAGAGTACATACACAAAGAGCCAATATTGATCTGTAATTTGTTTAAAACTTGTTAAATAAGAAACAAAAAAGTTTTGTGGTTCGATGAATACAAACTCATTTCAAAATGAAAAAGAAGTCAATAGAAAATACCTCATTTTGTATGCAAGAATTAAAAGTGTAGATTTATATAAGAATAAATTAATGTTTTTGAAAATTTTACTTATAAATTTCTCAATAAATAAGACTTTCATGTACTGATTTTGTGTCCTTCACTTGATAATATAGTTTAAACCGTTTCCAGCCCAGTGATTCCAAATGGAATCATTAATTTTTAATTTCAATTTTGTCTTTTGACGATTAAAACTGTTGCAAGTAACTAATGTGAATTGAAGGTAGATATATTTTTAACAATAGGAAATGTTGAATAATGAAAAAAAAGTAGGTAATATGTTTTTTTATGATTAAAGAAGTGCTTTTATAAAGATTTGAATAAAACAAACCAAAAAAAATGAGCTGGAAAGGGTTAATAACTATAAGTTTCTTTTGGAACCATAAGACTTCGATGCTAAAGACGGCTCTGGGTTATAGTATTGTGGTATACAATTTTTTTTTGTGTATTTATTCGCGGGGGCCGCAACTCTTGCTTGTCCAGCGCCGCTCCCGATATATAAATAAACCCGAAAGTGACTTAGTGCGAATTAAAAATAAAGCTCGTCTCGAAAAATATAAGACGCGCAGATCGGATAGGAAAGGAACGGAATGAAACGGAACGGAACGGAGAAGGAAAGAACCACGAGCACAGAACATGATGCACATGTGCAAAAGCATAGCACACAGCTACGGCGTTCCTCCTCTCTCGGATCTGTAATAATATTTAGAGATGGTCAAGGTTAAGCAAACGCGCCTCTAAATTTACAGACGGGCAGGGATAGGTCCGGGTCGAACTGTATGACCGCTGCATCCGCGGAATTTCTGCGACATGCAATTTCGGGGCCACCGACGCTCCCCACCAGAATAACCAAAAAGCAGATGAAGAACAAGAAAGGATAATAAAGAAAAGCGACGAGAAGTTTCCCCTCTCGCCCACACCAGTATATAGCCGAATTCGCAACACTCGTCGACCTTGGGACAAGGAGCACCGCAACAGTCACGGTCCGAACCCCGCTTTTCGCTAATTATTCCGAGTCCACTTAACACCGGAGAGATGAAAAAAAGGAGCAGCGAGATGGATCATGTGCTCTTCTTTGGATCATGGAAATGTTTTGGAAAGGCAACAGAAAATTGGCAAAGCTCTGAACAAACAAATGAACGAAAAGAGAAGAGGAACAGACACGTCCATGTATGAAACTATGTACGTCCGTCTGTAAGTGCGCACACAGGCAAGGTTGATGGCAACTCATTTGAGGACAATAAACGCAGTCTAGACGGATGGTGGACACGAGTATTTATTATATTATAAGTTTATATAATAATAATAATGGCAGCGCGACGTGTTTATTTTACGACTTTCTATCCATCAAGAATGCCGACCAAGTCTTTCGGGCAAGAAGAACCGTTTGTCACAAGATTGTCTCTCTCTTGATCTATTCGGTTGCTAGTAACACTGACCTAGCTCAACCGTGAACCACTAGATCACCCGAGCCGTTGCTCAATTGTTGCTTCCGTGCCATTCAAGATCAATTCAGGGGAATTGTTTAAACGGACCACGTAATGGTTGTAAGTCATCGCCGAAAATACACCAGATGCGCCGAATTCAATCTTCGAACGATTACATTCTGACCTCCGACCACGCACAACGAAAACCAAATTACATTTAATTCGAATATAAACTATAACGAATTAACATCAACGATTCTTTTATTACTAAGACACTAAACACAAATTTAATTACAGAATAATATTTACTACGCTACGCTACTAGTATTTAAAGTACATCGAAAAAGTACATAAATAAAAAAAAATACTTGACAAGTACTTGTGCCATTTTTAATAGTACAACAAATAACAGTTAGATGGAAAATTTATAAAGAAAATAACTTAATAATATACAGCATGAATTAAGCTTATCTAATAGTTTAAGCTTTATAGAGTGTAAAGTCTACTAAAAAACTTGTCTTCAATTATTCTCACCATTGCAATCTTACAGCGTTTACAATCTATTTGTTTTAAATTCAGCAAATTAATTCTTAGTACACAAACATTACTTATCATTACAATTTGTTGAATATTTTTTTATGTTGTATTTATAGATTGTACAGACTTGGAGACTGGCAGAGGAGAAACACGCGAACGTCTCGAAACAAGTCAACATCGTCGTGGTGACGTGTCAATTACGCCACATTAGAGATAAATTAAGCAACAATTAAATATTTAAGTTTCTATTCGCGTCTCCGTATTGTTTAGCTTCGCGCATCCAATAATAAATATAACAGCAGCGGCGACTCTAATAAGTTCCGAGATTCCACAGGAATTTTCCGCCAGCGAAATTTTCCTAAATCAAAAAAAAAACACACACGTCGCATGTTTAACGAACGTATACTTATGCAACAAAAGCAAATGCCTCGACGCTACTTTAAATGACAAAAGCGATTCTTTATTAATCCCAAATTCGACAATTGAAAAATCATGCTTCCAACGAACGGGTTTAGATAGTTAATTTCATTACCATTATCCACGTTTCGTTCCGTCAACAGAAGGCTACGAAACAACGTGTTCTTTTTTCTTTGTTTGTTTTACTTTTCCGAATGCAACGCTACCGAAGGTAATTTGTTGTTGTGTAACAATTTTAGACAATTAAAAATAAACGAAAACCATTGACGCGTAGTACAAAAACCGGCTGAATGTTTATACATTTATTTACACCCAGTTTTGTTTTTGTTTTTTTTTTGGATGATGCTTCGAAAACGTAACGTCGCGACGGACGATGTGATTCGTGTACGAAAGTTGTTTATGACAATCATAAACAATACAATAAACTTTTATTTACTTTGTCCATTCGAGAAACCTACATGGAAAATCTGAATTGCAATTTTTATTCCAACTTTAGACAACTTATTAAAACGTACCGGTACGTCCCACTGTTTTTTTTTGTTTCTGTTCATTTTCAAATGAATTAAGTTACGAGATGTTTGTCTTGGCATTAGTACGTATCCCAGTTTCGGCCCGCTAAATCCAACGCAAATATTTAGTCTGCAGGTTCACGTGATGCGGGTGTCATTTCAAGTACGGGACGTACCGGTACGTCGATGACACCGGTGGCAATGGGACAATTTCCTACTGACTCAACACGGCGTAACGAGTCACTAATTGGCAAGTGCGGTTTCGCCATACCGGTACGGAGTTCAAGGTCAAAATGAACATTGTAAATATTTACATTGCGCTCCACACCACGAATTTTAATTAATCGAAACTTTAGAATTAACTTAATTTTATGCTGTTGCATTTCAATCATTTTCATTAGTATACATATGTTTCTGTAGAATTCGTTTTCAGCGTAATTATTATGTTTTAAGCTCTAATGCACTTTTGCAGCAATAATTACATAATAAATAATGTCTGATATCAGAAAAATTTGAATTTATACACGATTTACTTCAAAATAAGCTCCAATTCCAACATAAGAATCATAAGACACAAATTCTATAAATATACATTAATTTATACTAACTTTTATTATTATATAATTATGAGAATTTAAATACTAAACTAATTTATTTAAATGTACTTTAAATATTTAAAATAGAGTAGACTAAGGTCGGAAAGGACGACAAGATTTTTTTTACAAAAAAAAAATTAAAGGAATGTTAGTTGAACGTTTTTTTTTTCTACTGTTTCGAATGCAAATCGAGCTGATGTTGCGCTCGCAGACGGGAATTGGTCAATAAATAAGACTTTGCGGTATTTCAACTTTCATTTGGAACAAATAACAGTTTGTTCGCGAAATTACAAAAGAAACGAACGAGAAAAAAAAAAGTGTAATAGGAAAAAGAACGAATCAGAAGCAAATTTTTCGATCGTCAAGGTCAAAGTCTGTTATTGTTCATTGGAAATTTTCAGATTGATAAATCAACATAATTGTAATGGAAATGTGGGCAAAAGATGTGGTAGAAAGATCAAAAGATGGAGCGAAAAAATGTTCCCACTGAAAATTATCGCTCGTCGTGTATATGCAAGTGTCTATATATATACACATTCGCATATAGATATAAAAACATAACTGACCTATGCCGTCATTGACGGATTTAAATGCTCAATTTAATTTTCGGCAACGAGAATAGTGCTGTTTTTTTTCGGCCGCGTTGCGCAATTCGCGCGCTCACATTTTTGTTCGTATCCTTACCGAAATAATACTTGCTCTGTTCTATTTCAAACACTGATTTTTTTTTTAAATTATTTTTGCTTTTCGTCACTCGATCGGACTCGTAGGTAGGTAGATACGCACCTGAAACATAAAAGAGAGAAAGAAATTAATTAACAATTAAAAGAAAAGCAACAAAAAAAAACAAACAGTTTTTGGTTGTTGTATAGTGGCAATCCGGGCTTACGGATTGGCAGTAATCAGGGGATGGATGTTTTGTACAATATATTTTTTTTTGTTTCGCTCCCTTCGGAGCGAATAAGGGAGGCGAATTACAAAAGCGCGCGCGCCAACTGACCTGGAAAATGTACTTATTATTTTTGCGTATTTCCGCGTGTGCGTGCAACTCGCGTTATTGATGTTTAAAACATTCATTCAATCAAACACACAACAACAACAAAAAAATACTCTAGTGGTAATACTGTGTATATGCGGAAATGCATAAACGAATTGCGGATCAGGCGATACGAACGAAACATTCGTTGCAAAAAAAAAATCAATTTTTAAATTGTTGACGAATTTAAGCTTTACTTGTACCTAAACTTAGCAAATAATTTGCGTAGTTGACGTTTTTTTTTAAATATTTTAATCGTTTCTGCACGTCGCAGACAAATTCCTGACAATAGATAACCTTCCTGCCTGAAGCTCTGTGCTCTCGTGTATTTAATAACTCGACAGAGTGAGAAATGCTTTAAATATTTAATATGTCGTGTAATTTCTATTTCGACGCAATATTTAGTTTTTTTTTATATTTATTACTGAAAACTTTTTGCACGGATTTCAGCTATTTTCATATACGTTCCACATATTATTTTTTTTTGGTCGTAGCATAATGCATTTTCAGTCGGAGTTCTCTAATAAACTTTATATAAGAAAATTTAAGCAAAATAATTTATTCTAGAAAAAATAGTCTTATACAGACAATAATGAAGAGTCCACTTATTTGTATTTACTTTTTTTCGAATATAATTGTCTTACATTTAAAGATCGAATATCCTTTAATTAAAGGACAATTTTCTACAAAATCTATAGACATTAGATAAATTGATAATCAAGGATTATTTTTCTATGTAAGAATTACTGATTTTCAGTCAGTGTTCTCTAATAAATATCTATTTTTCGTCTATAAGACGCACCTTTTCACATAGAAAAATGTACTCAAATTTTGTCTTCTAAATTTGAAAATGAAACGAAAAAAGACTTTTATATAATATGAGGTATAAACTAAATTTGATCAATTATACAAAACAATATGGAAATAGAGCAACAGAAAGACATTTTGATCCACCAGAGATCCAAACAGAGAAAATAGTTCGAGAATGAAAAAAAAAACAAGTGGAACAATTAAAAGTGATAAGTAAAGACAAGAAAACATTCTGTTCGCAATTAGAAAAATGGACTCAATAAATCGTCTCTAAATTTGTCGTCAGGTGCGTCTTATAGTCCGAAAAATAGGTAAATTTTTCTATGTAAGAATTACTGATTTTTAGTCAGTGTTCTCTAATAAACTCATATTTAATCAAAATGATTACTTTTGAAATTGTCCTAAAAAAAATTAGTCTTACTTAAGAAATAATGAAAAGAATCCAAAGTAATTGTTCTACTGTTTTTCATTTAAAGTTCGAATATTTTTTTAATTTAAGGACAATTTTCTACAAAATCTGTCAACATCATTACTATATAAAAATTACTAAAAATTAAGTTACAATAAAAGTGGATTCATAATCCAGTATAAATATGCAATAAAACTATATGAAAAATATGTGTCTTGTGAATATAATGCCTAAGAGTTATAGGAATTGAACTGTTGTGTATGTGTTTCAATTGAGGATCAAGATTAATGCGTTGAAATGTTAACGCCGAACAATCTAGGAGCAATTATCTATTTGGAACGCATTAGGGTTGAGACCTGTTAAATTTTTAATAATAATTGCCGCATGGTGTGCACGGACCTCCGACACGATATTCCTCCTGCACACACACACAATTCGCTTGTTGCCAACCCAATTAATCACTGATAGAAAACACCTAGAGAAACACCTAGACCAGAGCAAACATCAGGATTTATGTACACTGTACTAAAAGAAAAAATATTACAAACAAACGATCGATTTCCTCTGCGTTATGAGTGTGTGTGTATATATTATGAAAAGCGTAGGCTTCGACGACTCCCACACCGCGCGATTCGATTATACACAATATTCTTTTTTTCTTCTTCTTCTTCTTAGCTTAAGCAGAAATTTTCCTCTCGCATAATTCTTAATAGAAACAATTAAGAAAGTACTGAAATCCCTGTAGGAAACTTGTTTAAAAAGTAAAACATTATTAATTTTTTGTAAATGTGAAATTCCGAAAGAATAAAGCAACTTAATCGATAATTAATTCTTTCAGCGAATTACATTTACGATCGAAATTAAATTTGTAACGAAGAAAATGAATTGAAGCAACAACAAAATGTATATGTAAGGAGGAGGAGGATGATGATGAGGAACAGGTTTAATTTATTTTCGATGACCGCATCTGACTTCTTTTTTTTTTCTTTTTTTGAAAGGATATCTCTCGCGTTGCCGTGGCGATTTCGGGGAAACGCGATAAAAATCGCGGGCAGCGAAATTATGTGACGTGACAGGACGAAAGGTGAACGAAGAAAGGATGGGCATTTCGGAAACGCTGTACGGCAGTTTAAAGGATCTGTACCGGTATTTGAGGAGCTGCGTTCTGGACCGCGACATCGAGCAACTCTACTTCGTCGGGATGAAGTCATCGCAGGACATGACCGGATGACGTAAAGCGTCTGAAGTGGGTAGGTAGGTGGTACAACGAGCGGCCCAAGGTCAACGCAGTTTTCTTGTTTCGTTCACAGTTAACTGCTTTTCAGGGAAATAGGACCAGGCGACGATGATGTAATTTCGTATCATTGAAAACGGAACGTAGAAATAAATAACGTGTTTTTGTCCTTTCATCTCCCAGTCCAATAATCAAACTTTTTTTTATTTTTGTTCTTCATAAATGTGTCAATATGTTACAATAAATAAACTTGTTATGTAACTTTCTTTAGAAATAAAATAGATAATATAAATTATAATAAGATTCATATCAATTTAAAAACGTATTTTATAGTTATAATTAATAAAAATTATGTTCAATTCTACCTACAAAGACGCTTCAACTATAAGGCTACAAAAGAGATTCTCCTGAGCTGTGCAACTAATATTGGTTCAAGCTAAATAAGGAGACGTTACATTCATACTGGAACGCTATTTCTTGACTTGAATCACGTACACACAAAAAGATGGGATTACGATCATTCAGAATGCTTCAAAGTGATTTCTTAATAGGAAAATTGCATGCAGCTTGAGTAGCAGAAAGTGGTATTAATAACAAAGTTGCGTGTTGCAAAAGGAAAACAAGAAATCTTTACAAAAAAAAAAAAAGTAATGTAGAGTGGTAGTATGCAGCGAGCAACATTGACGCCTCAGAGGCTTTTGGAGTCTTTGAAAAGGGTAATATTGATGAGGTTGTCGAGAGCGGATTGAATTGCGGTTTAACAAATTGCTTATTGCAATCCTCGTTCCCTTCCTTCCTTCACGGTTCCGAGATGGCACGGAATAAATTGCGATGAAGGTGTAAAGAGTGTGGCAAGGTGCAGGCAAAGAGAGGAGAGTCGCGTCTTTCTTGATTTCTTTGTGGGCTGCGTAATGGCTCGACAATGACTTCCATAAACGTATACTCACTGAGAGAAAGAGACAGATCTCCTGTTTTTTTTGTAGCTATTATCATTTTTTTTAGAAGAGTCTTTGCGTTGGGATCTTGGTTTGCTCTTATTGCTATCGTCGCGGATTAAGGCTGCAATGGAAGTATTTAGCCGTGTAAATTTGCTTCGCTGCGCATTCGGACTCTGATAACCTTCGAAGGATTCATCGAAGTTGATGAGTATTTATGCTATACATTCTTTTAAGTTCTACCAAAAGAAATAATTTAACACATACTTTTATACCATTTCTGCAAAAAACAATGGTTAAAATCAAATTGTCCTTATTACTAAACATAAATATCTTTCAAAAGTCCTTTCATCACAAATATTTAGGTGTAACAGGTAGAAGCGAATATTTCAATTTGAAAATCTCTTGTACTTTGTAAATCCAGGATATACAAGGATGCATCCAGAATTGGAATGATCATGAAACTAAATAACACCTGAATATATTCTTTTTATTTTGAATATACACTTCTAGATGAACGCTCTTCTCCTCTCATACTTCTCATCCACAACCTTATTCATCATCATTTCGGTCTGGAAAGTTTTCGGTCGAATGCAATTGCCATTATCCTCATGTCTCCGGACACTGCTCTCCTGCTGCCAATGTCGTTGTATCATACACAATGTTTCTTCTTTCCTTTTTCTCTACACTCACGTACATTTTTTTTTGTCATCTCCTCTCCTTCGGCATATCGCAAGATATTCTTCTCTGCGAGCTTGCCGATCCGGCAACGGCGTCTGTCACTTGAGCCTGGCCTAAATAAAATTCGCACAACTCCATGCTGCGAATAATCGACGTGTGATCAGATGGAACGGACAGATACACCGTGACCTCCCGAGACCCGCTCTTCAAAGTTCAACGCGATTCTTCTCCTTCATCTCTTTTCTTTTTATTCATGTTTCTCTCATGTGTATTATGTTTTTTTTTTTTCTTGCTATTTCTTTTCCCCCTTAGTGCATTATTATTACTTTTTTTCCGACCCAATTAGCTGTGTTTTTGTCTTCCCCACAAAGAGGAGGCGGAAACGCAACATCGAAAGAACAAACACAGGAGAAGGAAAGTTCTTAACTTTGTACGAAGGGAGCCGCGCGAATTATCGGGATTACGATGAGGAAATTGAATCCACCCCATAGCGTATTTTCAAAATTATTTTTACCAATGGAAAAAAAAACGTAAGAATATATATAGGGTGCATTATATTAATTTTTGTAGATTAATTTATTAAATGGCTTTAGAAATCATATTTTGATTTTGTTGTAACAGAAAATTAAGCAATATTCTTGCTTATACATACAAATATATCAAGATTTAGATCAATTGTATCAACTAACTTAACCCGTGTGGATGCGCGCAGTGGGTAAAACATACTCATACCTACAGTTAATTGTTCTAACCGACTTGCTTTTAAAGTTACGTGCTGCCGCTTCTCAGTACCTTCCAAATGGGCTATTCTGAAGGCATACCTAAAATTATCCTATTTTTAGAGCAGTCACTACTTGTCAGCTGTAGTTTTAAGTATGCCAGGGTAAATTTTACCCATCGCGTGCACCCCTATATTTTTGTAGTGACTGGTATATTGTGATAACTGATTGAATAATTTTGTGTTTGGTTTTGCGTTTTTGGTATAATAACAATTGCAGCTTCTTCGGAGACCTGTTCTCTATCTGATGTTGAACTACAGCAACAGACGATTATTTGTAATACAATAAACTAAATAAATATTCCTAGTTATGTACTAAATGCCTTCTAAAATATTTTTTTTCCAAGAAATTATACATTATAATTACATAAGATAGCATTTAAACTGATGTAATAGATAGTGGGTAAAATATACCCTGCGCGCGTCTTCATGTAATAAGAATCCGCGCGCGTCCACAAGGGTTAAGAACGTAATTTAGTGTTTATTTGGACATAAGCAATGGGAAATTAAAAATGTATAATATTAAGAACTAAGTCTGCTTATAAATACATAAATAAGTATATATTTAAGGTCGGGCAAGCAGTTAATATGTATTTTCGAAAAGTAAATATTTGCATTTTGTGCCATTTCGAAATTGCGCGTCCTTCCTTCACGAGCGCTCGAGCCGCGATATTTGCGCTATTAATGAAACCTTGCATATTTATATCAGACGTGCTGAGTAAACAATTGAATTTCCGCGGCGAATCTGGTATGTGGACGTTCGCAATTGAAGACGCCACTTAAAAGTTGAGTTACAGCGAACGCTCCAGAGATGGCGTAACAGTAATCCTGGATTAGTCTGTAAATTTCCGAAAAATTGTTTTGTAATTTACGTTCACGTTGGTTGTGATGTTCGATAAATGGGGCGTGCAGCCCATTACCGACACTACGAGACAGTTTTAAATGACGAAGAGGATAAAAAAAAATAGAAATCGTTAATCAAAGGCGAAGGAAGCCGCCCCCGCACTTGCATAACATTACAACGATAATAATGGCAGGTCGAAAGATTATCGAGAATTGAACGATTCACGAGTGTATGTATATATATGTACATGAATATGCGTGTGTATTGGTGTGATAATAGTGGTGGTAGTTGTAGTAGTTCGAGGGGGTGGTTTAAATAATTAATGCCCGATAGCGCGTAAAGCGTCCACTATTTTCATATTACCGTAATGTATTTTGATTTGGTATAGATTGATTGATTGATTCGTTCCTGTAATAATACATTTTCAGTCGCACTAAATGGATTTGTATTAAGCAGGCTTACGAATCAATATTAATTATGAATTTATAAATGAATGATCGCCGTTCCGCGTACTAATAATTCAAATCAACTTAGCTAAGTAGATGCGATTTATAATAAATCTGGATTTCAATGTGACGCGAGCTTTATTACGGCACTCGCGAAATCCCGGAGCGATGACACAACCTCCCCTCACACCTCTCCTCACACTCTCTATGTTCGCGCAAATAAATACGCGTCTCTTAGTTTGTCCAATGACAACAATACACACACAAACACAAAAATTTCCCAAAATTTTCACTTTTGTTTCATGAAATAACCTGAAATATTCTTGAAAAAAAAATAATGTTATCTACAATATTTTTCCAATAAAAACAATACCAATTAGTTATTATACCAATTTAGACTCAATTAATTCAAGCTGAACAATATCAATAAAAATGTGAAATAAGTGTAATTATGAGGAGAATTATAATTTGGAAAATTAGAAAGTACATAAATAAATTTATAACTAATGAAATCTTGTTTACAGTCATGCAGTTTTTAAAATAAAATATGAAAGAGGAAGTGTATTTACTTACAGAAAAATAAAGGAAATTGGATGTTCACTGCATGTCGAAGACTATATTATTGGATATCTGCAGCTTTCAAAAGAAATTGAATATTGGCAAATTTCTCTTCCACGAGATTCCTTATTAATATTCTTATTTGATCTTAATTAATTATACACAATTATGATTCAATATTTATGTTGCATAACTTAGTTGAAAGTAACAGAAACAACAATTTTAATAAAGTGAATCAAAAATTCAATTTCTTAATTGCCACTAGTTTTCACTGAATAATACTTAGGTAAAGAGGTTAACAAAACACTTAGTTTATGATCAATGAGTTTACATTTTATGAATTCTTGATTTAAAGATCGGTATTAGGTGAAGAGATTAGGTTTAATTAGGTAACGATTAATTCAGCGTTAATAAACTACAGCAAAGGCTTCAATACCGATGATACTAATTATTATCCGCTTCGCATGAACAGGATTGTGGAGATGTTTGAATGCGGGATCAAATCAAAATGTTGAGCAGACGCGCCTTGCGACCGCGAGATGGCGGGCGCCGAGTTTTCTCTCGCATCGAATAGATCTAATTAGGGACAATCTCATTTAGCGACGATAAAATTACGTAATT